GAGGCAGAAAGAGCAGATACTAAAGCACAAGGACCTGGGATTGGAACAACCGGAACATTTTCACTAACACATAATTTGGCATGCATTGTTATCACCATGAATAAAGTAATGAAACAAAATAGAATAGAAATGATGATAAGAATAAACAAGCACAATAATAGCAGCACACTTTGCAACTCCATACCAGGAACACTTATACCCGGCGTTCCAGCGTCACTTATAAGTGCCACAATCTCACCTTGTTTCAACCTCCTGAGCACAAGCTATTCCCTTTGTGATTCATTGAATTTGTGACAACTCATCTGAAGATCTAGAAACGAGTATTAGAAAATGTAAATTGCAATTATGCCAAACAGTGACGTATATTGACCTAGGTTTGCAAATAGAGTTGAAGGAAAAGGAAGAGGCTTACCAGGGGTGTTTTAATATTGTAGTGATGAAGTAATTTCCCATAGTGCCTTGAATGTGATGTCTTCAAGATTTCCGATCGGTGTTCCGACAAGATAAAGGTCGGGTTTCAGATCCTGCGAGCGACGATTATCCGGTTCGTGTTCCTGCAAATGAAGTTTCAAACTCAGTGAATGATGCGAACAAAAAAACAATTGAAAGAGTTAACCCTAGAAATAGCGTGAAAATGAAATTACATGTTTGTCTGGATGGTGAGTGAGATGGAGGTCGGAGGTGGAGCAGAAGGATAAAGGGGAGAAGGCGAGTTGCTTTGGAATGGAAGTGAAAACTTTAATGGAAGAATGCAGTGGAATTGGTGCAGCAGCGGAAACCGCCGTCCACGGCAAACGGCAAAGCAACATGGCTACTCTGATTTTGGTTTTGGGTGTCAGATTTACAATGAGGGGTTTGATTTCTCGGCAGTGAAGTGTATGATTTCTGGATTTTATATTAAGGGTTCGAGTTTGATGAATGGGTTTCTGGGTTCGTGAGAAGCATTTAACAAAAGAGTTCATTTGTTGAATGAAAGATTTGTTGTGAAGAAGGGTTTATAGTGAGAGAAGGGTTTGAATAAAACGTCTTAGGTCAGGTGGGCAATACCTGACTTAATAAATATGTTTTTTAAGTTAGTTAGTGAACACAGGCGACTTAAAAATTTAATACGAATTATATTTTCTTTCTTTAATTTTTTTTTTTAAGTCAGTTCTAAATGTAATTGACCTAACAATGTTACAAATATTTACGAAATTGCCACCGTATCACTTCTTAAGTCAGGTGGCAGGTGAACTGACTTAACAATCTCTATTATAAAATATTTTTTCTACTAGTAAAGGTAAGTTTGCAGAGAACTACACTACTTTATCGACATAACTCAAGTACCTTGTAAGGCTTTTAAGACAATAGCGACATGATTGTCTTCGGCCTCCTTTTATGATGTTCTTGTTGCTTCGATGAAGTCTTTTTTGTTGGTTTCGCTAATCATAGGCTAGGGAGTTCTTACTCGTTTTATTCGCTCTTATTTTTTTTAGTTTGATTTGGTATCTGTTATACCTCTTACAATCTCCTCTTCTAAACTTTTGCTTTAATACCTCTTTATCTTTTATATATATATATATATATATATATATATATATATATATATATATATATATATATATATATATATATATATATATATATATATATATATATATATATATATATATATATATATATATATATATATATATATATAATTTCAACACAGCTCTCATAAAATTTTCACTTTAGCCTTAAAATACACATTTATCTACTTATCCTTTTCTCTCCTTACCACTTTTATGTTTCATCATATTTATATTTATACTATATATAATTTCAACACAGCTCTCATAAATTTTTCACTTTAGCCTTAAAATACACATTTATCTACTTATCCTTTTCTCTCCTTACCACTTTTATGTTTCATCATATTTATATTTATACTATGGATAATCATCACTTTCATATTTATACTATGGATAACCAGCAACAATATTTTAAATCCTATCTATATGTATATATTTCTGAAAAATAAAAGTGATTTTAGGAATTTAATAAAAAAAGTATGAGATATTTTATTTCTTTTTGTGTGCACGACGTATGAAATATTATTTTATTTAAAATAATAATAAAACAATCTAATAAAATTTTAAAATTTGTTGAATGAGTTGGATCCATCTATAATTTAAAATGAATAAATTGAATTGAATTTATTTATATTTTTTATAATAGATGAATTAAATGAATTATTTAATAGATGGATTGAATCAATTTGTTTATAAAATAAATTTTTTCTTAAGAATTAAATAGTGACCCCTACTCTTTTGTCTCCCTTTATTCATAACCACTACTCAGAGATTTTCTTCGACAAAGATCAAAAACAAAATAAAAGTTAATTTTTAGCTGATAGCATGACAAATATATAAATTAAATTAAAATATAAACTAAATAGAAACAATTAAAAACTATACTAAAATAAACTAAATAGAAATCACTATTAAAAACTATATATTAAAATAAAAACTAGATTGAAAAATAAATTAAATTAAAATATAAATAAGAATTAGAAAATAACCAAAAAGAGAAACTATAAATAAAAAACAAACTAAATTAAAAAAAATAAAAAATAAATAAATCAATTCTAAGTAATACTTAAAATAATTATAAAAAAAAGATTCTAAAATGGGATGGTGAAATTGACTAAAAAAAACACAATTAAATGATGAAATAAAATATTTAACCAGAAGAATGCAGAATGACTAACTTAAACTAATATGAAATGATCAAGGATCCGAGAGTAAAATTTGGGGTACAACAGAGATCGAGTATTTAGTACATCTAACGCTCAACAAGGAGGAAGAAGTGATCATTCTGAAGTGGTGATTCAACCGGTTCTTTTCCCTTATTCCAGTACTAATGCAGTACCGTGGCGTTACAATGCAGCCGCCTTTATAAATGGCTAAGTAGTATCCATAGAAGACAAATTTGCGGTGACTTTCAGGCCATATGTATAAAATATTGTTGAGGCGATTAGGATGACCCGTAGTGGTCGTGTTTTCACACCTACACCACCACTAAAGGCTGTTGAAGAAGTGAATAAAGAAAATGATAATGAAACAATGCAACTCCGCAAAAAGGTGGACGTTGCTAATGACGCAATCTTGCAACAAGAAGTCGAGGAGCTATTGAGACTGATTAAAAGGAGTGATCATAAAGTAGTGGATAAACTCCACCAAACTCCCTCAAAGATCTTCGTTCTATCATTATTATGTAATTCAGAACCTCATAAAAAGACTTTGTTGAAAATGCTTATGCAGGCGCATGTAACACAAAACATCATTGTGGATCAATTCAATGGAATTGTATCCAATATCACACCATGCCACAACTTGAGTTTCCATGATGGAGAGCTCTCTGAAGAGGGGAGAGATCATAATCGAGCACTACATATCTCTATTAAATGTTTGGATGATGTGTTAGCCCGCGTCTTGGTGGACGCATGTTCGTTACTAAATGTAATGCCAAAGTCTACATTAGCAAAGAATTTCTGCAGAGAAACTGTTATGAGACCCAGTGCAATAATTGTGAAGGCCTTTGACGGGTCACGAAGAACCGTGATTCAAGAAGTGGACCTACGAATATTGATAAGTCCACATGTCTTTCAAATAAATTTCCAAATCATGGATATTAACCTAACATACGATTGTTGCTTGGGGAGGCCGTGGATCCATGTTTCGGGCGCAATTTCTTCAACCCTCCATCAAAAGATAAAATTTGTGGTCAAGCACAAGTTAAAGTTATAAAAAAAATAACCTTTTAAAAAATTAAAAAAATTGAAAATTATTTTATTGGTCATTCTTTTTGTTTTATGAAAATGGCAACCTTTTAAAAATTACAAAAAAAAAACAAAAAAATATTTTCCTTTTGCAGTTTGCTTTTTACTTTTCTTCATTTTCTAAAATCTGCATCAAAATCATGAAAAATAATCAATGAACCCATTGAACTCAATAACGATACAATCCCTCATAACTTTGAAACCCCAGTTAACCAAGCTTAAGAGGAGTGTGAGGACGATTCTAATCTCTCTGAAAAACTGGCAAGGCTTCTCGAGCATGAGAACAAAGTCATTCAGTCGCATTAGGAGCCTGCAGAGATCGTTAACTTGGGCACAGAAATCGAAAATGAAGAAGTGAAAATCAAGACTACTCTTGAAATCAGAATCAACGAGAGATTGGTCAAACTTTTGCATGAGTATGTGGATGTGTTTTCCTAGTCATATCAAGACATGTTTAGGCTAGACACAGACATTGTTGAGCACCGACTACCACTCTAACCAAAATGTTCGCATGTAAAGCAAAAATTGAGGAGAATTGGGCCTGATATGTCAGTCAAAATCCAAGAAGAAGTTAAAAGACACTTCAATGCATGATTTCTAGCAGTGATAGCTTAAGAAGTCGTGCAAAAGCGAAGAAAACCCCCAAGAAAAATGACTGCATTTTGATAAAACAATTGTTTGCTACATTATTTTATGATATGCAAAATACCAACTAATTTAGTATCCTGAATACAGTAATACATCACAAATAACAACCATGAAGAGGAGAATTGACATGTTCAAAACAACGTCAAGAATAACCACACATTAAAATCTATACTCACAAAAACCGTAAAATTTCTCTTTAACTTATTCTTCAAATTTAGAGTCTTAGTTCCCTAAATTCTTTCTTAGAGAGAGAAAAAGAAATTAGTTAACTTAATTCTCATATACTCATTCATTATTCGCTTAAATAATCAGTTGGTCCCTGTAAGTTAGCGAGTTTTTGATTTTTGTCACTATAATTTTTTTTTGGTATGAGTCCTTATATCTCATTTTTTGCATTCAATTTAGTTCCTAAAGCCTTTCCTGCGGATTTTGGTTTTAGGACTAAAACAAACGCAAAAGTGAGATTTAGGGACTAACAGCAAAAAAACAATTACAGAGACCAAAATAAAAAATTCACTAACTTACAGAGACCAAAAATACATTTAAGCCTTTAATTTTTTTCTAATAATCTACCCCATGCATTGATTGCACACACTCCATACTTTTTGCCGGTGTTCCTTTTGATATAAATATAACCCTGATTTCCCCAACGCGTGCCCCATGAATTCTTCACGATCCAATATTCGTCACAGTCTATAGAATCATAACCCACTATTACCACGGCGTGAGTTGTATTCTTAGAATCAGACGGACAATCTTCACCTGTAAAGACTCCCTGCCAAAGAATAAATACGTTCTTGATAAACAAATGCAAAAATACTAGAAAAATACATTTTAAAGTTTTATTTTTTTTCAATATTTAATGTTCCAAAGTTGGATTGAAATTAAACTGTTTATAATTGTATATTTATATTTATATTTAATGTCCTCTCTCTAGGTTTTTTAAGAAGAAAATTTGATTTTAAAGAAGTTTTAATACATAAATTTAGCCCTCTTATAAACTTGGCATTTTTTTAAATGACATGTATGATTATAGTATATGTTATATGGTTTAGTATTAGTTTTTTATCACATGGGTTGGTTGATTTTATGCGGTTAAAAATAAATGGATTGGATTAATATATATTGGATTGTTAATAGATGAATCAAAATAATCTATTAATTTATTAATAATATGTCAAAATTTCTTTTTAAAAATTTAATCAATTTGTCTATTAAAAATAAAATCCATTTTGTATATTCATGAACATATTTTTAATGAATGAATATCAATCGATCCATCCTAAAATTAATTTTATGTTTTTAATTATTTTTATTTTATTTTATATAAACAATATTTATTTGTAAATATATATTTTGACTACAATTTTTTTTTTTGTGTAAATTGAATGAACGAATGATTAACACAAGAGAATTGTTAAAAACACTCTCGTTTTAACAGTTTTTGTAAGACTCATTATTCAATCAAAAGAAACTTATGTGGGTCCTTCAATTTGAAATTGGACAATACATATCATTTTATAGTCGATGTCATAATTTTCTAAAAATAATAATAAGGTTTGTTTACTTTTTTATTTTTTATATAATCTCATAGTGGGTATAGAGAAAAGAGACAGACAATGAGTTCAACTAAAATGTCTAAGAGTTGTGGGTTGGGTAGAAGAATTAATTAGAGTAAGGTGAGAGAGTTTTTTTATTTCTAAGTCTTTAACTTTCATAGTGATTTAGAAGACTAAGATTGGTGAAGTCTCTGAATCTTTGGTCACTACTACAAAAAACACATACAACAACGTTTTAAAAATATATTATAATGTAGGACCGACCGTTATTACATAGCGTGTGGTTGTATATGCGTTACTTATAATCACGGTTGTATGACTGCTGTAAAAAACTAAAAAGCACACTACCTTTAATCACAGTTGTTTTAAATACTCATTGTGAAAGGTCTGTCAGCATTTTTTTTGCCACATGTTTTGTCTGACTACATTTATAGCTTTCATCACAATATGAAATATTAAACATTTTAGCACAACAAAATCAAGAAAAACAAGATTAATAAGAATAATAAGAACAATAAGAGGAAGAACAAGAACAAGAACAATAAAAATAACTACAAGAACACCAAGAACAACAAAAACAACAACAAGAACGACAAGAACAACAAGAACAATAAAAAGAACAACAAGAACAAAAACAACAACAATAACAACAAGAACAAAAATAAAAATAATAACAAGAACAACAAGAACAACAATAAGAACAATAATAACAACAACAACAATATAAAGAATTACAAGAACAACAACAAAAATAATAACAACGTCAACAACGACAAAAACAACACGAACAATAATGAAAAAATAAATAAATAGTATGGTTAAACAATAACATTTTACTTGTAGAATTGTTAAACAGGAGCAAACTGTAACATGTTAACGGAATCAATGTTTCTAACTTTGTTTGTGGAAGAAATGATGCTTTTAAGTTCGGTTTAGTGGATGAATAATGTTTCGTGAATGGAAGAAGTTTGGAGCCAGAAGATGAAGTTTGTCTAAGTACGCCTAGGACAAAAATGAATGAACTAAGAGCATTAAATATATCTTTGAAAAAAAAGAAAGCACCACCTATAACCACGGTTGTTTTAAATGTTCTGGTGAATGGTCTGTCAATAATTTTTAAAAATTATTAAATAACTAAAAATGCTGGTGCTGAGATTTGAACCAATGACCATAGGCCACTTTTCATCATGGATATTAAATCAACCGTGGTTAAAGGTGATTAAATAAAATTAAAAAAATACATGCCCCTAAATATCACATATTACAACAGTTGATTAAATATCCGTAGTAACACATGCGTTATTAAATGTGTTTTTCGTAGTAGTGGGTCCATGCTTTGTGGAGAAACTCCTTTTTCAATTGGAGTTATTCTGTGTCTTTGAATAATATTGGTGGTTTTCTCTCTATGTTGTGTAATTCAAAGGGATCATCTCTCTTTTCTTTGTTAGTCCTAGGTACTTGGATATCTACCTCAAGTGGTGGGTGGCTATATTTATTTGTTTTGTTGATAATATATATATATATATATATATATATATATATATATATATATATATATATATATATATATATATATATATATATATATATATATATATATATATATATATATATATATATATATATATATATATATATATATATATATATATATATATATATCTAGACCTAGAAAGAGGACAGCTTTGAGGAGGGATCTCCTGTTGAGAAGAGAAAATCACGAGTTGATTCTCAGTTGTTGGCGTAATTCCCATTTCTATGGTTGAAAAGTTTTTGTCCCAAAATAGATGCTTAAAAGTCATTAAAGATGCTTAATTATAAATATTGGAATCATCAATTTTTTTATGATGTTTATTCTCATATTTCTTCCTTGAGAAAAGATAAAGATTCTCGAGATGTTTGAGTTGAGCAGGGGATTTCCTTAGTGTTAGAACTCTGGTTCATTCTTCAGATTGAATATGCCTTGCTTTTTTAGAAAACTTGACTTAAATGTCTTCTAGAGGGTGATGCAATTACCAGTTACTTTTATCCTAGCATCAAAAATAAGTATAGGAGAAATATAATCTTAGTTCTTAAGGTAAGTGATGTTTTGGTGGAAGAGGCATCGAAGATCCGCTAAGAGGTGGTCAATTACTTCTCTAATCACTTTAGATAACCTCTCTTGGATTTGCCCTCGTTGAACTTGGTCCATTTTCCATCTCTATCGTAGGACGATTATGCTAGTCTCACTACCCCTTTCTCTTTGCTGAGACTGATTAGATTTTTTTTTTGTTAGATGGTAACAAGAGTCCTAGACCTGATGGGTTCAATTTTTTCCTTTTTTAATTTGTTGGGTTGGTCTGTAGCTTTACCTAAAGATCCCCTGATTCTTTTATAGATGTTTTTTCCTATTGGTTATCCTTCTAGGCTTAGGGAATATCTTATGATTAGCCATGTTGTGGTCTGGCTGAACTGGAAATCTAAGAATGATAATGTGTTCATAGATAAGTTAATGGTTGCGAAGGGAATGATAATGTGTTCTTAGATAAGTTAATGGTTGCGAAGGATGTGGAAGACACGAGTATCCTTTTGACTTGAAAATGTTATAAAGGTAAGTTTGTGGGGAACTACAATACTTTATCGACAAAACTCAAGTACCCTATAAGGCTTTTAAGACAATAGCTGCATGGTTGTCTTCAGCCTCCTTTTATGATGTTCTTGTTGTTTCGATGGAGTTTTTTTTTCTTTCTGATTTTGCTAATCATAGGCTAGGGAGTTCTTACACATTTTGTTCGCTCTTATTTTTTTTAGTTCGATTTGGTATGACTTGTTCCTCTTACAATCTCCTCTTCTAAACTTTTGCGTTAATATATATATATATATATATATATATATATATATATATATATATATATATATATATATATATATATATATATATATATATATATATATATATATATATATATATATATATATAATCTCAACATATAATCTCAACACACCTCACATAAATTTTTTAGTGTAACCTTAAAATACTCATTTATCTACTTGTCATTTTCTCCCCTTCCCACGTTTATGTTTCATCATTTTTATATTTATACTATGGATAATCATCATTTTCATATTTATACTATGGATAAACAGCAACAATATTTTAAATCCTATCTATATGTATATATTTCTAAAAAATAAAAGTGATTTTAGGAATTTAATAAAAAAAACTCAGGTATGAGATATTTTATTTCTTTTTGTGTGTACCATGTATGAAATATTATTTTATTTTAAATAATAATAAAACAATCTAGTAAAATTTTAAAATGTGTTGAATGAGTTGGATCCATCTATAATTTAAAATGAATAGTGTTCTGGTCTGGGCTCAGCCTCGCGGTCCAGTCCAATATCGCACATGGCCCATTAAGTGGACTAACCCGACCGAGCACACACGCCCCACACGACGGGCAGGACACGCTCCCCGCCTGGATGTACGACGCGTCCGATAGCGTCTCAACATCCTCTCTTGTCGGCCGAACAAGGCACACCTCGGTCCGTCAAGCAAGACCTTTGGTTCCTCCACATTTTCGCGTTCTCCTCGTGGAGAACAACGTGCCTCCGGGGAACCTCCCGAGCTCTCCTCCGCGGGGAGAACAACGTTCCCGGCGCACTTTCTCCACGTGCTCCCCTCCGCGGGGACACGTTATCTCCCAACTGCCCACCTCCGAAAGAGCAGGTCAAACCCACTTTCCGGAGATCGCGGGACAGTTGGACTAGGGCGAAGACCACGTTCTGGTCTTCACTACGCCACGTAAGCCCTAGCAGTCATCAGGGTTGAGCCTGGTCATCCAGCCCATCTCAAATGACCGTTGGCCCAGCGCTGGGATCTCTCTATAAATACCCTCTTCCTCAAGAGGGTCAGGTAATTCACTTCTTACCCTTTCCTGTACTCTGCCCAACTCTTTACTTTGGCATCAGAGTGTTTTGCAGGTACACCCCCTTCTCTTCCTCATCACCGGTGAACAGTTAGCAGTCCAACAGTGTGTGGCCAGTCCGTGATCCCCTTCTGATCAGGTCAGATCAAATAGATTGAATTCAATTTATTTATATTTTTTTATAATAGATGAATTAAATGAATTATCTAATAGATGGAATGAATCAATTTTTTATAAAATAATTTTTTCTTAAGAATTAAATAGTGACCCCTACTCTTTTGTCTCCCTTTATTCATAACCATTATTCAGAGATTTTCTTCGAAAAAAAATTATCAAGACAAAAATGAAAAGCAAAATAAAAGTTAATTTTTAGGTGATAGCATGACAGTTAATATTAAAAGGGAGATTGCTACAAGTATTTATTCTCACTCTATTATTGACGATTTCAAACTACTTAAAGATTGTAAAACATTTTTTTGAAGTATATTTAATCATACTTTTTAATAATTTGATGATCAATTTTATGTTTATTATAACTTAAATATTTTATATGCATTGTGACCTAAATATTTAATCTTCCATTTATAATTTATTTTGTCAGTTGAGTTTTTTTATAATAAAAAGAGATGAAAAAATGATAGACATGAATTAAAACTATAAACTAAAGTCATATAACTACTTACACCATTGTAAAGGTGAAAGCCTTCTGTGGATGAATTAATACTAACACTAAGAGGCTGCTGAGCAACTGCACACAATAATCCCATCTCCGATCTCTTCACGCGACTATATGAGGTAATGCTGCTATTTGGACTATTTGCAATCTACAACAAGGTGCTTTAAATAAATTCAATATATGCTTAAACTAAAATAAATATTAATAGTTTTTAAGTTGATAGAAATTAAGAACCTTGGAGGATTTGCAATCACCCTTCTTTTTAGTATAAGGATAATCATCTTGTGTTGCAATCCCTTTGTTTTCTATTACCCAGTTCAATCCTTTGGACACACGTCCTCTCTTACAATTTCCATCTGGTTCGCAATCTAGAACCTCCTGCTCTGAAAGGCTAATAAGCTTCCCTGTCTTTATTGCAACTATTCCTTCAACGGCACCTACAGTTGAGAATGCCCAACAAGAACCTAATAAAATAAATGAAGTTTAATTAGTGGTAGATCTTATCTCAAATCATCAATTTGTTACCTAATTGACTTATCGTGGTTACTTAAATACAAACTTACCACATTTGCCTTGTTTCTTAACAGGAGTGACAGCATCTTTCAACCTCCAGTCCAAGGATGTTGGTGGATCAATACTACATGTTGAGTCATCAACGTCATCGTTCAAAGTATCCATGGCGTCGTCGTTTAAGGTCAAGTATGTTTCTTTGAATTCCGGGAAGCTCAAATCAGCAAAGTTGGTTAGACCAAAAAAAGCGCTATGAGGTGAGTCTCTCTTTGCATTGGCCTCCACGATATACTTCACATTTGAAACAAAAACTTCAAATTTCTTTTCCATCTCTTCTTGATCATGATAGACTCGTCCATGTTCTTTCTTCCATAGTTGAAATAATTTCTTAGCATCACCTTGATTAGGAAGCTTATCGAGTTTAGGACCCAATATGGAGGTGTACTTACTGGTTGGGATCGCAAACCTTGAAGATATACTTACAATATCTTTACTTTTATAAGTTTTTTTCTTTAGAATAGCAAAGTATATGCATAAGCATGCAGTGAAGATGATGAAAAAGCGAAATCGGTTTGAGGTAAAGAATATCCTCATTTTGATTAGAAGTAACTTGAAGATATTCATCTTTTATTAAAACTAATTTGAAGATAAAACTTTGTATGGAAAGATATGTATTCTTTCAAAGTCAGTTCCACATATTTATAGAATATAAGTTGTGAAAAACTAGTAGTTTATAATATTTCCGAAATTTCTTAACTTTTTATGAATTAGTAAAGAAAAACATAGAAATATGGAATGGATCTCTTTTGCATAGTCTTATTTTATTCTTATATGAAATGCATAGTCTTATTTTATTGTGTTTAATGAGGGAACTCAAACTATTGATTGCGTTGACAAAAAAAAGTCAATGCTTCCATTGCTTTCAAAGAATATTTAAATTGTTACCTTGCAGCAATCAAATAGACTGTACTTTCCAAGAAGAATAATGCTAACGTGTGAACTATGCAATTGATTGATGTACCAAAATTTTGGAACGTTGTAACAAAGAGAAAGAATAAAAAATCTGTTGGAATTATATTAATTAGAGTGGGAATTGAAAAGATTTATTGACAAGGCAATAAATGAACACAAGTAAGAACTAATATAGAAGTGAATTTGAAAAGATTTATTTTAGTCCCACATTGAAGGGAATGAAAATATTAGTAGTGTTTATATATTCCAACTTGGTCAATTGGGATGGACCCTAAAGGGCACCCAATTTTGTGAAAGGAGTGAGAACTAATCCATGACCATCAAGACACGCGCGCGCCGCCGCCATCTAGTATTTTCCCTACTTCAGTAGTGAAGAGGCGGATTTCAAAAAAAGTTCACACGAATTTTGATTTCCATCTTCTCTCCCTTAATTCTCTTCGTCTACAAATCCTTTTGTTCTTGTTTTTTCGACTGGCTATTTTCGCCAGATACTGGGACTTAGAAAGGTGTATTTTTAGAGCGATTTATCAATCGTACGTCATTGAACGGACTGTTTTATCCTGGAGACGTCGTCGTAAATCGACTGATTTGCATATTTTGGCAGTACGGCGAAACGTCTTAAAGAAAGCGACCTAGTACGCGACTCGTCCCGATAATTTCCTTGTGCCAAACTCAATTTTTCAAATCCGAAAACAACAATTTTAAGACGTTTTAATAACTGCCATGGCAACTGAGGAAATTATCGGTACTATTGCGACCGCTTCAGTCTTTGACAAACCTTTCAGGTTTGAGGGTTCCAATTTCAAACGTTGGCAAGCTAAAATGAAGTTTTTCTTAACTCTGAAAAAGGTTGCCCACGTTCTGGCAGAGGATATCCCGGTTGTCCCTTCTGCATCATCTGAACTACCTAATGGTAACTCACTTGCAGACTCAAACGGGACTTCCAAAACGTCTTACTCAGATGCTGCAAAAGCTAAGGCTGCAGCAGATGATCTACAGCTCCGAAAAGAAATCGCCTTATGGCACGAGAATGATTATCTGTGCAAAAATCACATTCTGAACAGTCTTGCTGATGATCTGTACGACTACTACAGTAGCTACATGACTTCTAAATAGGTATGGGAGGCTCTGCAAAGAAAATATGATACTGAAGAAGCAGGTGCGAAGAAATTTGCTGTCAGCCGCTACTTGAACTACAAGATGGTGGATGAGAAGTCGGTGGAAGCTCAAAGCCACAAAATTCATAAGATTTTTCATGAGATTATTACATAAGGTATGCCCCTCAATGAACAATTTCAAATTGTTGTAATTATTGACAAACTTCCCCCTAGTTGGAAAGATTTCAAAAATGTGCTTCGTCACAAAACAAAAGAATTTTCAATCGAGGGTCTGATTACTCGCCTCCGAATTGAAGAGGAGGCTCGGAAACAAGATCAGAAAGAAGAAGTCTTAGTTGTGTCTAACAACAAAAAGAAATTCGGTGCGGTTCTGAAGCCTACGGGCAAATCTTTAAAGAATCAGAACCGCAATGCTATGAGCCGAACTAAGAATGAGAATCCGTCTAGGGCCCCATCGGCTCCATTTGCTAGGCAACAACCAACACCTCAAAGAAATGATGCTCCGGTTTTCTCTTGCTACAACTGTGGGAAACCGGGCCATATGGCAAAGAAATGTAGGAGCAGGTCTAAACCTGCAGCTGGCTCAAATGCTCAGGTTAACCTGACTGATGAGCAACTCATTGCCATGATCACTAAAATCAACATGGTTGGTGAAAGTGATGGTTGGTGGATAGACACTGGCGCCACTCGTCATGTCTGCTATGATCGTGCTATGTTCAAGACATACATGAATGCTGAAGATAAGAAAGTGTTGTTGGGAGATGCTCACACCACTAATGTTGTTGGAATTGGAGATGTTGAGATGAAGTTCACTTCAGGAAAGACCTTGATCTTGAAGGACATCATGCATGTTCCTGAAATTAGGAAGAATCTTGTTTCTGGTTTTCTTTTGAATAAGGCTGGGTTTAGTCAAACTTTAGGGGCAGATTTGTACACCATCACTAAGAATGGTATTTTTGTAGGAAAAGGGTACGCCACAGATGGCATGTTTAAGTTGAATGTCGATTTGAATAAAATTTCTCCTTCTGTTTACTCTTTGTGTGACTTTAATATTTGGCATGATAGACTTTGTCACGTTAATAAACGAATCATTTCTAATGCAAGCAACATAGGCCTAATCCCTAAACTAAATGTAAATGATTCCAATAAATGTGAATTTTGCAGTCAAGCAAAAATAACAAAGACTTCACATAAATCAATTATAAAAGAATCTGATCCCCTAGATCTTATACACTCTGATATATGTGAATTAGATGGAAGTTTAACTAGAAATAATAAATGTTATTTTATCACTTTTATTGACGATTGCTCTGATTATACTTATGTATATCTAATGAAGAATAAAAGTGAAGCGCTTGACATGTTTAAGGTGTATGTAACTGAAATTGAGAATCAATTTAACAAGAAGATTAAGAGACTTCGCAGTGATAGGGGAACCGAATATGACTCTAGTTTGTTTAATGATTTTTATGTTGAACATGGTATTATACATGAAACGACTGCTCCATACTCTCCTGAAATGAATGGTAAAGCAGAAAGAAAGAATATGACTCTTACTGAACTTGTAGTCGCAATCATGTTAAATTCTGGTGTTGCACCTCACTAGTGGGGGGAAATTTTATTGACAGTTTGCTATGTCCTAAATAAAGTTCCCAAGTCAAAAAGTAAGATCTCACCTCATGAGAATTAAAGAAAAGACAACCAAATTTGTCTTATTTCAGAACTTGAGGTTGTCTGGCTTATGTCAGAATTCCGGATCCGAAACGAGTTAAACTCGCTAGTAGAGCCTATGAATGCGTATTCATTGGGTATGCAGCAAACAGTAAGGCATACAGGTTTTATGACCTAAATGCCAGAGTAATCATAGAATCAAATGATGTTGAATTCTATGAAGACAAATTTCCTTTCAGATCGAGAAATAGTGGGGGCTCACAATCGAGTCACATTCCTGTGATAAAAAGCACTGAAAGCAGCGACAATGTAGAAACAGAACTTCGAAGAAGTAAAAGAGGAAGAGTTGCTAAAGAATATGGGGCCGATTATGCGACCTATAATGTAGAAGAAGATCCAATAAATCTTCAAGAAGCACTGTCATCTATGGATGCAGACTTATGGCAAGAAGCCATTAATGATGAGATAGATTCTCTAGAATCTAACAAGACTTGGCACTTAGTAGACTTACCCCCGGGTTGCAAACCAATTGGTTGCAAATGGGTTTTGAAAAAGAAACTAAAACCTGATGGAACGATTGAGAAATACAAGGCTCGCCTTGTAGCCAAGGGTTTTAGACAAAAAGAAAATATAGATTTCTTCGACACCTTTTCTCCGGTCACTAGAATTACATCCATTAGGGTACTCATTTCAATAGCAGCCATTTATAACTTAATAGTACACCAAATGGATGTTAAAACAACTTTTTTAAACAGTGACTTAGAAGAAGAAATCTATATGGAAAAACCAGAAGGGTTTGTAATCCAAGGACAAGAAAGCAAGGTCTGTAAGTTAGATAAGTCTCTGTATGGACTAAAACAAGCCCCTAAACAATGGCATGAAAAGTTTGATAACTTAATGATAATTAAAGGGTACAAAGTGAATGAAAGTGACAAGTGCGTTTATTACAAATCTGAGAATTGCATTTGTACTATCATATGTCTATATGTAGACGATCTACTTATATTTGGATCAAATGTTCAGGCCATTAATGATATGAAATCATTGTTATGCAATAACTTTGATATGAAAGACCTCGGAGAAGCAAGCGTGATCCTGGGTATCAAGATCACGAGATCCGACCAAGGAATTTCTTTGGATCAATCTCACTATGTGGAGAAGATCTTAAAGAAATATAAATACTTTGATTGTAAACCTGCATGCACTCCGTATGATCCAAGTGTGAAACTGTTTAAGAACACTGGAGAAAGTGTCAAACAAGCAGAATATGCGAGCATCATTGGCAGTCTTAGGTATGCCACTGATTGTACTAGACCCGACATTGCATATGTCGTAGGATTGTTGTGCAGATTTACAAGTTGACCGAGTAACGAACATTGGCAAGCTATTGAGCAAGTAATGAGGTACCTTAAAAGGACTATGGACCTCGGCCTACACTATCAGAAATTTCCTGCTGTACTAGAAGGGTATAGTGATGCAGATTGGAACACCTTATCGGATGATTCCAAAGCTACTAGTGGTTATATATTTAGTATAGCCAGAGGAGCTGTATCTTGGAAATCAAAGAAACAGACCATTCTGGAACAGTCCACAATGGAGTCTGAGATGATAGCATTAGCTACAGCTAATGAAGAAGTAAGTTGGTTAAGATGCTTGCTAGCTGAGATTCTTTTATGGGAAAAACCTATACCAGCTGTGTTGATTGATCGCGACTTTCTATGTCTAATACAACTTAACTGCAAGTGCACAGTCTATCGCGTAGTAATAAAAGATATCGATCCCACAAGGACTCGTAATCAAACTAGTGTTCTCGAGAGTTACTATGTTTAGCTA